CTGGGAAGGGAAAGAAAGGCGTCGGTTAATCGGGTTGGGTTGTGAAAACGATCTGGCATATTCTGCAATACCCTATTGTTAGAGGCATGTCTGGGATGATCTATCTACTATATACGCGATGTGACATGCTGCGATAGTATTCTTTCACAGACATCCCTGATTATTGACAAGCATACGAAAACATAAATGATATAGACACTGCAATAGCGTTCTTCCTGCCTGAGATGTAACCCTTTTGTCCGTGTCACATACACTGAGTATTTGAGAGGCATGTTTACAGATTGGATTCAATGAGCAAGAGGGTGTTACAACTGTCAATCAGGAACTAAGCACATTTTTTGCATATTTCATCTTAATTACTTCATACTTTTTAACATGTTTCACAAACGCAGCACTACCGTGAATTTGTTTAAAATTCATCAGTACATCAGTAAAATAAAATGTCCATAAAATGCCTCGGGAACACACCAAAGACGGCATCTCTGAATCTCTGCTTCACTAGTACTTTAAATACGCGCAGTATTTTACACAGTGTAAATTGACGCGCAATCTATGCCACTGACTCTATTCCTCCATGGTTCTTATGTCACACGGCCTCACACGCAAGCACCGCGGTTACTCTGCTTGCTCTGACCATCTACATGTGCACAGTTGCATTGTGCTCTAAAAATATCTAGTTCATTTTATACGCGTTACGTCTATAGATATGATGTAAGCTATATTAACTGAATAGATATTTCTGTAATACTTGCCTCAAACTAGGAAAACCAAACTCTCTCGAACACAAGTGCTCTTATCTGCTTTACATAGCACCCTCTTCACAATCAAGTGCTTTCGGTTTTAGTTTTGATCTCAGACTGTGCAAGCGGGTCCTTGGACTACAGATTCTAAACACTCATTAAAAATAAATCAAACTGCATCAAAAGAATTTTCTTCCCACGCTGAATGGCCGAACCTCCCTCTCACAACGCCTTTCAAATTACTCAGACAAATCTCCCTTCCCCGCCCATGCCGCCGCCCACGCCCAAAGTAAGCCTACAAAAGAATAAAGGATAATATCATCACCACATCGCCTTAACGTATTCCTTTGGTGAAAGTAACAAGAAAAAAAGAGATAAAAAAGGGATCGCAAGAAATAGCTACCGACGTCGACCGCAGGGGGAAGGGAGGGGGTGAAGGGTGCAGATGGAGAGGGTAGAGGGTAGAGGGAGGGAAGGGTACAGGCAAGGGAGAGGGAAGAGGAGGAAGGGGGGGGGGAGGTATGACTGCGAAGATGTATGGAAGCCTCCGTAATTATTCAAAAGAGGAAAATTAGGCTTGGCGCAGGCCCCAGAGACAAAGGGAAGCAGACGAGGCCCGCATTTCCAGGTATGCGAAAGGGGAATTAGAACCTTTATGATGATAATGCCTGGGCTGACGTGATGACTGTCTGGCGAGCGCCCGGGATCTGATAAGACGACACATGAATACTGATCGCGAGGCCACTGACACCGGCTGTATGGGCGCCCGACGCACGCCCGCGCGCCCGTCGCTGCGCTTCGATGAGGCAGCGCGGGGGTTGGGCTTAAAGATGATACAAATCATGCCGTTTTTATCGCGTGTCATATTTTTGAGTTTTATTTTTATGTCAATCCTTATCAATTTCCATCACGCCAAAAGATGACATCTAATACATAGACACCTAAAGAGACAAGGCAGGATATCCAACTAAACAGGAGCCTATCGAATAACGTCAAGGATTTAGCGTGACTTAGGGAAAAAACCTCTGTAAACACAAAACTCTATTTAAGACTAATACAAGCCAAAAACACCGGTAAAGCGTCGGTTTCAAATGCGGCTGCGATGCACCTTAGACTATTCCGGGCAGAAGCATCAGAATCCTTCACAGTCCTCTGTCTTGAGGGAGAGAGGGCCTGAGAGATAGATAGATAGATAGACAGATAGATAGAAAGGTAAGTTGGTAGGTAGATAGGCAGATAGGTAAGTAGATAGATACATAGTTAGATAGACAAATGGATACATAGATAGATAGATAGATGGATAAACACGCAGATAGATAGAGAGATAGGTAGATAAGTTGACAGACATATAAACAGATAAATAGATAGACATATACAGTTACATATAGAGATATAGACATATAGATACACAGAGATAGAGACAGACACACAGATAGATAGATAGATAGATAGATAGATAGATAGAGAAAGAGAGAAATATGAGGAGAGGAGAAGAGAGAGAAACACACACAGAAACACACACACACACACACACACACACACACACACACACACACACATATATATATATATATATATATATATATATATATATATATATATATATATATATATATATATATATATATACATGTTTGTGTGTGTGAGTGTGTGTGTATACATACATATACATATATATATATATATATATATATATATATACATATATATATACATACATATACACACACACACACACACACACACACACACACACACAC